CTGTGCACACGCTAGCGGCGGTTCGAAACATATTTCTTATAAGCGCTCTTTTAGTGTGTGAGGGGTGAGAGGAGCGGTAGCTCTTTTACTATTTAATGTCATTCAAATAATCCATTTATTCTATTTATTTGATTTCTTCATCTTTTACTGTTTCTATTTAATGAACGAGTGTTCTCGGGCAAAAAAAAAGTGATCGTCGAAAATGCAGAAGAACAAGAGTGATAGATTTGTAAAGGTTTAAGAAGTCTCCATATATTTCTTTCATTGATCTATAGGTAAACGTAGTGAACGATTTCAGGTTGCTCTAGATGCTTCCAACAAAGAGAAGGTGATTCTCGATTTGCTGAACACCCACCAGAGGTTTTCGGCATCGGCGTCGGGAAATGTGGCAGCGGCCGATACATACGACGGGAAAAGGGCGCAGGTGCAGAAGATTGGCGAGAAGGGAGGCATCGCCACCGTCGATGGCCATATGTGCGTCTCTAACGTCGTTAAGTCCATACAAACATGACCTACATAAGTTTTGCATTAAAACTGCAAAGGACTGACAACTAGGTGGAAAATTCGTAGTGAATGGCAAATGTTGTGACTGAATTACTCTGGAGCTAGATTTACATTTGAAATTTGCATTTAAACTATTCGACACGAAATGACTCAGGAAAGGACTCGTGGGAAAGAAATCGAAGACGTTTGGTGCTTATTCAACTGGTTCCATATTATCTTTTTTTCAATGCAAATCCATACACGTTGAACGATCGACGGTTCTTCCTAATCTGATATTGATCGCTATTGTTTAGAGCGCAACTTAGAGTAAAAGAGGATGAAAGTGGTCGGCACGCTTTCTTGAAGGCTGACGGGCAATATGACCTGGATGCAGTAGCCTCTGGAGATTTCAAAGATCCAGAGGTAAGTCGCTATTCATTACCACCTTTTTCGGTCGTTCCTAGTTTTCGCCACAACGTACCTATATTGTTAAAGCTGAAATCACCTTTTAGCAAGTGGCAGCCTACTCAAAGTGGCTTATTTGTATATTTGTTAGGGTTTCGATTTTGATGTCGTGCTTAATGAAATTCCAATTTATTTCCATTCATTCAACACGGCTGATTGCAAGACTGAGTGTATCGGACAATTTCGCATACAGCTGGTAAATATGAACTACCACCACTCCTTTCTTCGATGAGAATTCGTCTAAGTTTATCTCTTCTTCGATTCTCATGTTTCTTGCCAATGGCAGCAGAATAATTTTAGCATCCCCGAACTACGAAAGATCCTATTGAGCTATAAATACAATGTTTTAACTTTATTTTCAACTATTCCTTTTTCATGCTAGGGTGTCACCTGCATAACCTATCGTCCCGTCGATTGTCGAGTGACTCGAGTGGACGACAATAAACATTCCACTTTTCCCTATTGCGTGCGGGAGTAGCCCAGCAGATTCTTTTCCCTCTAGGGACTCATCGAGCATCATATCATTCTTCTAGGCTCTTCGTGAAGAACTTTGACCATCGGGTCGGTGGTCTTCCTGCAATGCGTTTAACATTCCGAGGAATCCAGTCCCTAACGGCTCTTGTCCATCGGTTGTCATTCGTACGCACTAAGTGTCCAGCCCACCTTATCTTCGACAGTTTGGCGCATAGAACATTATCTTTAATTTTTAATCGTTGGCGCACGTCGGTGCTTCGGATCTTTTCCCTTACTTGTGTGACACGGGACACTCTTAGCATCGTCCTTTCGATTACGCGTTAAATAACACTGAGTTTCATCCTGCTTTCATCCTGCTTACTCAGCGACTAGGCTTCTGACGCATGCATCAGGACAGGAAGTGTCGCAAAATCGAAGAGTTGGGCAACGAGTCCGGTGTTTTTGTTTACTTCACTATACCTTTGACGCTCCTGAAAACTCAGCAAACCGCTCGCTTTTGCCTCTCAACACTGGAGTTATGTCGTTCATCATGTTGATTTCCCTACCGATTGCACCATTCGGGGATTTCCATTCCGCTGACCGTGAAGGAGGCATACGAAGCTAATGCATTCTTCATGAACATTTTTACGCTATTTAGTCGAAGGCTGTTCTTTCCACAGGGTTTGTCGAAGTCGGAAAGTATTCGTTCCACTTGCCTAATGTTTGGTGTTATAAAAATGATGTCGTCAATAAAGCAAGGTTGATGTAATTGTCGTTCATCGATTTTCACTCTCATGTAGTCCCAATACAGTGTTAGCATGATATTCTTGAGGGTGGGCGTGAGTAATTTTGGCGACATGGTATCACCTCGCCTTGCCTAGATTCTCTTTTGACGTCGATGGTAGTATTGTTGCAGATTGGTGATGTCTTTGTTATAAAATTTTTACGCAGTTGATGAAAAATTTTTATTTGCTGAATCCTACACTGTCCAAGGCTTCCATGACTACTTCTGTTTCAACTGAGTGAAAAACCTTCTTTGAACAGATGAAAGTGAGACGCAGCAGTCTCCTATTTCCTCAAGATATTTTATTGAGTCTTGCTATAGTGTGGATGTGGTCCATCGCACTGAATTCTTTTCGAAACCCTGCTGTCCTTCTTGCAGTGTTTTGCTAATCCTGTTTGTGATGATTCGAGTGAAAAGTTTGTAGACGACAGACAGCAAGCAGATTGGGCGATAGTTGCCGTTATCGTGTAGGTCATCCTTCTTGAACAATAACACGGTTTTGCTGGTTTTCCACTGACTAGGGACCTTGCATTCAGAGAGGTAACGTGTGAAGAGCCGAGCCAGTGTGTTTACGAGGACTGGCGGAAAGTTGTCCAGGTGTTCTGATCTTATCCTGTCCGGACCTGGAGCTGTTCGATTTTTCCTCGATGAAATGATGGCACAACATATCCCTCCTCCCTTATTTCATATGAAGGCAGGATGACATGGCTATTGAAGAGATCTGAGTAGTAGTCGTGAATGATTTTCTCCATTCACTTTGTGGAAGCTGTAATTGTTCCGCCTGAGTGTCGGAGTGCAGTCAACTTGGTTTTGCAATTGGAGATGTTTCGATGAGCTTTGCGAACGCTTTTCACAGCCTTTGCTGCTACGAGTATAACTGCTGCATTTCTCCCTTTAAGATCTTCTTTTATCGCTCGTTTGCGTTGCTTTTTAAGTTCGGAGTTGAGTTAGCGGTTTGCTATAGCTCCTGCGATACCATGCTGATGTATCCGCTCCAGTATTTCTGGAGAAAGACATCTGGTATATGGGACAGACGTAGAGTGCGATGTGAAATACAGCCGCAAGGATATTGAGATATTAACAATACTTGAAATCTCGTGTGGTACGGTACGCTGGTTCGATGCCGATCCTTGTTCCCCATATCATTCTCGTTCAAGAATGGCTGCTGATATCAAAATGATGGAGTAAAAAAACTGTCTGTGAGAAAGGCAAAACAACGGCATCGGCAACTACAACGTGTAACATATGAGACTCCGGTAAGGGGTAATCGTGGGTTCTAAACTCAACTGAGGTTCCGAGTTGTGCCCATATCTCAGCATCCTTCTAGTTATGACCGCCGTACTTTAAAAGCGCTAAAACTTTACGAGACCGTCACTTCAGTTTACTCACAAACTCACATTGTACCATAGGGTAGCCATGAAATGGGCTTTCTTTCTGTTGATCCACAGCCTTATCCTTTCATCATATTATTGAAGGTTCTTAAATATTGCATCCGCTTTTCTGTCTCTTCTTGAAAATATGAAGACGTGTTTCGAGTTTCTTCGATGTGTCATGTTAATGTTATTCTTACTCTACGTGTCTTCGACCAGGCCACGTGTGGCGCAGTGGTCGGAGGCGCCCTGCAGCACACACGTCGGATTGTTTCCCGCTCCTATGGTCCACCGAACCTTCCATCCCTCCGAGTCGGCAAATTGGTACCAAACTTGTCTAAGAGGATAGCAGCACTGGGTCGATACATCGGTAGGCCACCGTGAGTCGTTGTAAAGGCCAGTTATACATTCAATCACCTCTAAACGATGGTTAATGAAATCGAATGCATGGCACATCCCTCAGGGATTGATCAACGCCGAGAGTTTTATCCTTCATCCTGTCGACTTTTTATGTCGTCGACTCGTCTTCCCTTTATACGACTGATCTATCTGTGTTTCGCTTACGAAGCATACTCTCTTTCCTCTCGAAGACGAAACTATTTTGTGTGCTATTCATGCTATCATGAGGTAATGTTACATCTTTTTATGGACGGTTCGCACAATTCTCGACATGGTTGTACTCTTAAGCCACGTACTAACAGTTGCATAGTATAGCGCTGAAGAAACCTTTTTCATTCAAGAATGTTAGCACATAATTACCGCTCCGCCAGCTGGTCGATGGTTTATCTGAGTGTTCTGAATGATATCCCAGAAAATTTCACTTTGATGTTGTTTTCTGCGTTTATTAAAGACCTTAGATAGAGGTATAATGTATCCGACAGTCGTCCACCTCTTTTCGATTTATTTAGCACATACCATGGATTGTTCACGAACTGGGATTTTTCGCAATCCACTGACCATTCTAGGAAATGATCTCTCTTTCGGTACTACTTATCAAAATGGTGATAATGTCATAAAGGTTTCATAGAAACTTTGCACTAAAGCACGTTCCGTTTTCGTGACGGTCAAGTGACGTCATTTTTCTACTTCCACTGAAGTGTGACGATGAATATCTTTGGCAAGGTGGTGCCAGCCGTAGCTATCTCTTTCCTGTGGGAACGATTAGTGGGAGTCGTATTTTATATCGAGTGTTCAATAAAATACCACAACTACTTAGCTTTTCTTAGTTTTTCTATACTGATTCCTGACAGTGCTTTCTAATTTCAGAAAACGTCATTCGCTGCAACAAACAGTCGGTTTGATTTCAATCTCAACCCAAAAGCACATGACAACAACACTGGCACGGGAACTCTGGGATTTAATGATAAGGTAACGAATTCTTTGGAAACTTCGTTGTTATCGCCTTAATGGAACAACTTTCATTGACTCCAAAAAGATGGAAAAAAAAATGGGGTTCTGGCTTGTTGAGAATGTTCGTAAGAATTTTTCCCACTCCAGTTTGGAATCATATTGCATTTTACAGCAGCAAATATTAACGAAGAATGGCTCCTTAGTTCTTGAAAGCCAGCAGGTATAAATAAATGTGACAAAAGAATCTCAGTCTTAATGCTGTCATTGAGACTGAAAATTTATGTCCTTTATATTTGCCTACTTGGATGGCCCGTCTTCAGTGGTTGTATGGGCCCCAGCATAACTTCCATTCTCCTGAGGTTTTCTGGTTTAGTCATTGTGGTTTCCTGGAATATCGAGGTCAGAGTAGGCGAAGCGTTCCTCAGGTCGTCGTCACCCCAGGTAGTAGCCACCCTTGCGGATCAGAGGAAGACTTTCCACCATGCGAATAGTTTGAAACCAGGACGGTGGTTGATCCTAGTATTGGTTTACACTTAGATGGCCTTCCTCATGAAAACGACTGACTCCTTCTTGATTTCCAAAGCCGTGCTGGGGATGAACCCCTGCTGTATATCGCAGCCCAGCACCCAGGAATACCTCCTAACCTTGAATAGACTGTAAACCGTCGAAAAGATATCTTCTGTAAAGTAACATTAATACATTCCAGTGAGTAGTTTGATCTGCTTTTTTCTGATTGGAATTTATAATATTAATCTAGAGTTTGAGTGCTCCAATACACTGGTTATACTATTTAATCGTTTAGTGCTTCATCGTTGTAGAACTGGAGTTCGCGAGGAGCTGCTATTTTCAACCATGGTTTATTCTCCAACTAGTGTCTCCTAATCGGAGAAATTCGAAATTTTCAACCGTACTGCGAGTGTGTCAACGGTGTGGTAGTGCTTAACAAATTATGGGGAGCCTCTCATAATGAATGGTGTACACACAGCAGCACTGGTTTACGGAGGGAACAAATGAAAAGCAATTAATGCCTTGTCGGTGATTGATAGACGATTAGTGGATCTGTAGGTGATACAGGTGTACTTCCTTTAGTCGTTAACAGTATAACAAAATAATCAACGTGTGTTTAAATTCTTAAGCTTACACGAGACTGACAAAGATCTGTATTCGGCTGATGTTTCGACGTCTTAGCCTTCATCAGATCCAATGATCCGAGTCGACGGTTCGCATTTTTTTGCTTTCTCAATGCTGCGTCATCGTCTTTCGTATCGAGTCGGATCTTGCTCAGTGAAGCAGCTCTCAAATGAGGGAGGGATACTCACCCGGCGATGCTCTTTTATAAAGGATAGTTGTTGTTTTTTTGATAATAATTTGTTTTTCGTTGGATAATCCACCCTACGACAGTCCATATTATGTCGGCTAGCACAGCGAAAACGGTAATTTTGAAACTGATCAAGACACGAGGTTGATAAAGATGTTTATTCTGCGTCTCCTGCGAAACTTTCGCGTCTCCATCTAACTATAAGAATGCTAAGACGCTACATCGAGAAGACGTACAATTGTGGACCATCGACTTGGATCGCCGGCTCTGATGAAGAAGAAAACGTCTACATTTTAGCCGAATAAGCATCTTTATCAACCTCGTGTAAGCTCAACAATTTAAACAGATGTTGATTATTTTACTACCGTTGTTAAATGATGATCGGTTTCAAAATTATGAGAATATTTATGATGCCTTCACGATGAGTACAGTTAGAAAATTGACCTCATTGTTATATTCATAGAGCAATTGATTTGTCATCAACGGTCACAGAAACTGGTTGCTTCTCTTATTCTATTTGCCATGTAATCGATCGGATCCACATATTTTAGGAGAAGGGAAAAAGCGGCAAGTATGCCTACACGATCACGCAGAACGGTAAGAAGACGGACGCGACGATCTCGGCCCACGACATAGGCAGCACTGGGTTCGCCGAGAGTCTCTTTGGAAGGCGCAGCGAAAAGTATCACTGTTCAGGTAAGCACCCTCTAAAGCACAACATCCTCAATAGACAAAAAATGTATCACGATTGGTGAATCAAAAACAACGAACCGAGTATTTTAGAAGCGGTACAAGTTTAGAAAATTCCAATAGAGTGGCAACTGCAAACATTGGGTAACAACACCCTGTCGCTTACATTCGAAATATGAGGTTGAAAGGTTGATGGGAGAAAGTATATCCAGACTGTAACATACATACAAAATATAAAAAAAATAGAAATAAAGACGCAAAAATGTGAAGAAATAGAATTATACAAATGACCGCTCTGTCCCACTTTCATTGATTTAAAGAAGGCTTTGAACTCGGTTGGGATTGAAGCAGTCGTGAAAGCCATGGATAGTCAGGGAGTCCCTACACAGTTTATGAAGATGCTATACAAAAGTGTCGAAACCAACATATCACTATTCTACAACGATATCAACGTCAAAATAGGAGTTAAGCAAGGAGATATCGTCTCACCAAAATCTTTTACCACCTCTCTCGTGAACATCGTGAAAACATTCCAATGGAACAGCATGCGAATGAAAATCGGTGATCGGCAATCACACCGTCCTCGCTTTACTGATGGTGTCGTTCTTATAATACCAAACATTAAAGAAGCAGATTGAAAGCTGGCCGACTTTGATAAAGCCTGTAGAAAGATTGATTTTCAAGCAAATTTCACAAAGACGATGTGGAAGAGGAACGGATTGCTTTCGAATAACCCATTCACGTTTAACGGAACGAATATCTCCGAATGCTTCAGTTACGTCTATCTAGGTCGAGAATTAAACATGATGAACGACCTAGCTCCAGAGTTGAGCAGAAGTAAGCGAGAAGTTTGGGGGCTTTCAAGAGCACCGAGGATGTAGTGAAGAAAACAAAGAACGCTCTACTCCTTATCCATCTTTTTGACTCCAAGGTTCTTTCTGCCTTAACGTATGCGCCAAAAATCTGGTCACTGCGAAAATCTCAGAATACTCCACTAGTCGGTAGGGAAATCAACATGATCAACGACATGGCTCCAGTGTTGAGCAGGCGAAAGCGAGCGGTTTGCTGAGCTTTCAGGAGCGTCAAAGGTATGGTGAAGTGAACAAAAAACACCCGACTCCGTGCCCATCTTTTCGATTCCACAACACTTCCTGCCCTAACGTATGCGTCAGAAGCCTAGTCGCTGAGTAAGCAGGATGAAAGATTACTCATCGCTATTGAGCGCGCAGTAGACAGGACGATGCTAGTAGTATTCTGGTTCACAAGTAAGTGGAGCGATCCAAAGTTCCGACCTGTGTCAGCATTCAAAAATCAAATACACTGTTCTACATGTGAAATTGTTGAAAATATGAGGTGCAAGCACGCAGTGCATGTGAACAACAAGCGATGGACAACAGCCGTTAAAGAGTGGATTTCTCGGGATGTCAAACTAACTGCTGAAGGACCACCGATCCGATGGTTAGAGTTCAAAACCCTAGAAAAAAAGATGTGATGCTTAACAACTCCTTAGAGCGACCAGAACCCACTGGGCTACTTTTGCACACGACAAGGAAAAATGAGATATTTACTGGAGCCCGCTCAAGTGATTCGACGACCAACGGAACAACAGATGATACACGTGATGGGCTCCAAAAAGTTATATTTTCATCGCGGTGAAACAAGGAAACTTTCGTTCTTTCTGGCTTCTTTATTTATTCATACTTCAAATCAAATTTTGGCAATTTCTACCGCATGTAACAAAACTTGCTATAATCTAAGATGTCTATGAACTTGTAGCTACGCCATCTATGCCAACAACTTATTAGTAAGGTACATCCACTTCAGCTGCGGGCAAGTTTATTGACTTAACGAAACGATTTTCATTAATGAAAAATCCTTTTCCATGAGCAGACTAACAAAACCTTCTATTCATAATGGTGCATTAAAGTTGAAATCAAGCATTGTTTTTTCATAATATGCCTCCTATGGAAGTCATATAATCATGTAACTAGTAAGTCACAATGGTGCTGTGATATGAAGAAAATCGGAGCCCTAGGTGAGCTTCGAACCACCAGTTACCTGGGTTTCATTTGCTGTCATTGCACCATCAAAGCCTTTACTTCACCTTCTTTTCAGCCAGTATTGTTGCAAAGTTTTAGACTGTACACACATCCAGGTTAGATCTCGGAGGTGCTCAAGGCATAAAAATCAAAAAATCGAAAAAAAAAGAATGAAAGCGAAAACAAAGCAGAATTTTAGCGGAAACACCCGGAGTGTCTCAGTGTTACGATGCACAGGGTCGATCCGTCGGGAAGGTGGTGGCGGATAAGAATGGCAACACCGTCATCTATAATGAAAAAGACGTTCCCATTGGAACGGGCTCGGTGAAGCAGATTGGCCCTCGGAGTTATGAGGTTACCCTCTCAAATTTTAATACGTGGTTCTTCTCCTATGTGGTTTTTCTGCTGTGATTTCAAAACTTGCATGGACAAGTTAAGCTTAACAAACCGCTTCGAATCTTTCTGAAAAAAAAATTAAACAAACCAAAAAGAGTGTAAAAGTTGTGAAAAAGTGATTTAAAGTGAAAAAATAGGTGAAAAAATTAAAGCCTTTCAATTTTCGTATCCTATTGCCACTTTACAGGTGAGTGCGGCAGCAACACACTATTCTAACGTTCTTAAGTGTATTGGCTTCGCCTTAAAATAAGTACCTTGCATGGACCTACGTTAACAATTTTCTTCTGAAACATACCCCGGCGCTAAGTCTCTAGAGGATGTTGTTAAAAAGAATCCCCGAATTATTCACGGAACCTATTATCGCATAACTAGAGTGCTTTGGACGAGTTTGAAGGCTCGTGTATTAAATTATTTTGTTTCTTACAGATTTTCCACAAAATGCCTTAGCAGGGTCACGTAAGCTGATGAGCGGTTCAAAACTTCCATCCAGAAGCCACTTTAATAAAAAGGCGATCCCAAAAATCACGTCGATTCATGCAGACGTCGCAAGTTGATGGGGTTCCACCAATCTATTTGTGTCAACAGGTGCTTGTGATGAAGACCTGAATCCGGTTTCTCGAGAGTTTCTCTCGAGAAAAACCCTTCATAAAGCTCCACAACACTTTTTAGCTGGAAAAGAACTGGAGTAGGACCAGAGTTGTTTATGCTGAAGGGTTATTACGCCACTGAAAAATAATTCTTTCATAATGTTATACCTTTTTATTTTCTGCCTACTATAATTTCGGGGCAGGGTACTAAGCGAAATACAACCACAACGTTGCTGAGATCTTTGCAAAACTCTGGACCGCAGGTGCCTATGGTGGGGAACGAACGCGCTATTGTCCTTTCCGGGGAGTAACGCGTTCACCACCACACCATGCGGGTCCTTCGTGTCGCTGTCTCTCAGCTATTTCTATCGATCTTTTGCCACAGCAATCACCCGTCAGCGGGATTGATTCTTTCCTTCTTAAAAGTGTTATTGAGTGGAAATGCTAGTTCGGTTGAAATAAGCGAAAAAGAGTTGCTCGATGTGCGAAAAAAAATATAATAAAGTTGAATAGTGTTAAAATGAATGCCTAGACGCAAAAGACTTTTCTCTGCTTCTTTCCATCTCCTCTTTGCATTGAATTCCCTTCCTATTTCTTTTTTGTTCCTTATTTCCTTAAATAATTTGTAGCGGTGACACTGGCCTTATTTCTTGGGCGCCAAATATTTTTTAAAAAAAATACACAACGCGATTACAGGCGGTGATTTCGAAGAATTTGTTCATTGCACGGCTGAAGGATGCTCGATCCGAGGCTTGTTGCCGGGAGGTGTCAGGCCAGGACTGCACAGAGCCGATTAAGCTCGCCAACCCATCTGTGAGTGCATGCGTTTAGTCCTACGGTATGGGAACCTCAACTCAGTTGGTTGTTCAGTTCTCACATCCGTCAAGTCGAGACAAAGACGGCACCGTCCATCTAACTTGGCCCGACTGCTTCGACATGGGAATTGACGTCACACTTCCGCCAGGTCTGAGCATCCAATCGGAAATTATCCAGATAACTTTTATTCGTTTCTTCAAGGTTCCACTTTTTATTCTGGACATTTCGCTTGTTTTCAAAAGCTGCCAATCTCTCTAGCTACATATTAGCCTAATTTCTTGGAACTTAACCTTTTCAATTAACTGTCAGCTTCAATTTTTTGACCAAATCCATCAATAACATTTTAAAATGTCATTGATTCGCCTCCATAACAACACAAACTTTTCGAAAAGAAACTTTCGAACCTTGTTCTCCACATATGTCTTAGAAGTCAGTGCGAGAAATGCAGATAAATAAAACTGCGACATAATTCTTTTAACAGTAAAAAAAGCTCTCCGCGTTGATCAACCCCTGTTGGATGCGCCATGCATTCGACTTCATTAAGCATCGTCTGGAGGTGAATGAATGCATATCTGGACTTTACAATAACTCACGGTGGCCTACCGATGTATCGACCCAGTGTTACTATCCTGCCAGTCAATTCTGGTACCAATTTACCGACCGTGGAGAAATGGAGGGTTCGGTGAGTCTGGGGCGCAGGAATCGATTCTATGTGTATTCCAGCGCGCCTCCGACCACTGCGCCACACGTGTTCATTTTTAAGCTACTTCGAAGAAATTTCTGGGTCATTTATAAAATCCCAGCGTCAGAAGATGTTGTTATTTAGGAGTCCACATTAACAAACTAGCAATGAAGCTAGACGTGTCAATACAACCGATTGGTAAACTTCGATGTATGGACGTAGCCACTTGTGGTCGAGAGTGCTTTTATTGCGATTTCTGCAAGGAGAGTAGGTTCGCCACACGTTTTCATCTCTAATCATTATTGTTACTATTTTTACAGCGGCCGTCGTAATGCTGTTACTCACTTGAATAATACTGTGATCAGCCCTGACAATTAGTCATTTGGACCGAACCATAATTCGCTCTTAATTGGTAATGGTCAGAAACGAACACTACTTCTGGAAGGTCGAGCTAATCGTACCCGGCTTTTATCAAATTGTTCACGAGGAGTTTTGGTACCTGTGGACTGGAGCGTGATTTAATATCTAAGATTCAGTTTATATGAAGACGGCGATGATCCCATTTATTAGTTCGCTAATTGCCAAGATTCCAAAGGAAACACTGATCCCTTCAGCTGGTAAATCGTAGTTTAACGTCCAGCGAAATCCATTAAGCTATAATGGGATGGTAGATCGTTAGACATTGTTCAAGTACAGCGAAGAAGAAATAAAATTACAAAGAAGCGAGAAAGAATAAGCAAAACATTGATTTAATATTCAATCGTAAAATGTAACAGAACAAAATGATTATGGCGAAACAAGTCGATATCGCCTTCAAGCAATGGTAAAGTGCGTCTTTTGAGCTGTGGAAAACATAGGATACAAGGATAAAGCTCTAGGCGTTGATCAATCCTTGAGGGTGTGCCATGTATTCGACTTCATTTAAGCATCGCTAGAGATGACTGAATTCGTACCTGGCCTTTGCAATGACTCGCGGTGGCTTACTGATGTAACGAGCCAGTGTTGATATCCTCTTAGACAATTCTGGCACCAGTTTACCGACCCCGGAGGGATGGAGGGTTCGGTGAGTCTGGAGCGCAGGGATCGGTCCTATGTGTATTCAAGTGCGCCTCCGACCACTGCGCTACACGCGAGCTGTAAGGCATAACTAGTGTTCTTTATGCTTTTTGTTAGGAAAAGAACTGCATCATTATACCAAACGATTTCGCTAAAACGTGTCGGCTCGTCTTTAGAAAACTTAAATTGTTGGAAAATACCGACGGGAACTTATGTCGTGCGACCGCTGAGAGGACATACCGACTGACTGTGAAGCTTTGTCCGCCGCCAGAGGATCCGAATTTTACCATGTGTTCTGCGTTCTCAAAGTGAGTGGTCACTCTTTTCAAGCATTGGTGTATGACGATGTACCTTATAATCTATAATACATCAGGAGATTTGAGTATTTACTACAAAGCTAGTTTCACTTTTGCAAAGAGAATATATTTCTTCTTCCACCAGCAAAAACTAACCCAATTAACTAAAACTGAAATGGCATTTTAAAAGTTACATAGTAATATTTACCTTAAAAAACCCTTAAAGTAGAAGTAAACCCTTAAATTAGAAGTAATCTCTCCAATGAATTTAGCGTAAGTTCGGTTTGATCTTTGTCTTCTTCATAAGTCATCCACTTTCCAGTGCCACCAAACCTTATGTGGATACTTCAGTGGTTAATTTTAAGATGTAGTTTCAGCCACAGCACTTTTACCGTTTTATTCACTGCTTTTTAGTCCTAATCCATAGTAATAGTTAGAGTTAATCTCAATTTGGTTGTTGGATTCAGCGTCTTCAGTCCTAAACGAGATTTTGTGTCCTGATAGAACGTGGTATTATTCGAAATCACGAGATAGAAATGCTATGAAGGTGATCAGTTCTCCTCCATGGCTTGTTGTCAGCTTTTTCATGCAGGCTAAACAAACAGTTGAAGTGTATGCACTCCGAGTTTAGCTTTAACATAAAAGAAAACCTTATCGTTTTCTGAGTACTCTTTTTGGTAATTCTGTTAAGGGGAATCTTAGGCGTTTTTTCACCAGAAGCGATTTCTTTGAGTGAGGAGGAGGTTGTGAAGGAGAAAAGATTGGTAAAGAACTTTTCCGTTGTCAATTTTATAAAATGGCAAGATATGGTGATAGTCCCATCTTCGTTGGTCAGGGCGGAAAGCGGAACATAATATTCACAGAGATTCCAACGGCCCTTCTTCAGACTGAATCGTTTTTGAGCTGTTTCTAATAACTTTCTATACCTGTACGTATGTAAATCTTCCTACACATACCTTTTCCAGATGGAACTTATTATGATCCCTATCAATTCAGTTGCACTAAAATCAAGCTTCCGTGTCCATCTGTTTTCAAACAAATCTTCGTTGTAATAGAAATGCGGTCCGAACTTCTTCTTTGAGAGAATTAGGCGAGTTTGACATAAATTTTAACTCCTTCGACAAGCAACATGTAGTTCTCGGTCGGTTCTTCATTTATTTCTCTGTCACACAAAAAAAAGATTTCATTTAGAATATCCTCATTATGCAATACTCGTTTCGTTTTTCTCGGATAATAACAAAAGTTTTTTTTCAGCCTACGGCTGAATCAAAACTTCGTCCTGAAAAGGCGGTGATCAGATCCATTGCAGAACCCAGATGAGCTATCAAAGAACCACCATTTTCTGTTAGTGGGAATATTTTCGAAAGCAACCACAACGATGCCAACATATTTCCAAAACTCCGGACCGCAGGTGTCTGCGGCGGGGAACGACGCCGTATTACTCTTTCTGGAGGCTAACGCTTTCAACACCACACCATGCAGGTCCTTAGTTTCGCCTGTCTCTCAGCTAGTGTTCTATCTATCAGTGCCATCAGCATTCACTCTTCAGCGGGTCAGAACCCGTAAAGAGTAATAGAGCGTTCGTTGCCTTCGTTTTCTCGAAAATTTCGTTGGTTTTTTGGTAGTAATCTAAGAGAATGATCTAGTATGGCACTTCTACTAAAAATCTCCGTAATTGTAGTCGTTTAATCTTTTCAATCTTAGAAGATAGATAATGCCACAAAATGAGAATGTCTGAAACGCAACTAGAAACTAATACTAGTAGGCGAGCTGTGAACGTCTCGCAGTAGAGATTGCCTGGGAACTTTTCAGGTGCATTGGAAAACTAATACTGTAAATCACCTGTGAATATGGGTGAGCGGAAAGGTCGACATTGACATCCATATATGTTGTCTGTATACGTCTCACAGAATGCCAATATGTCCAACATTACTGGTTTTTCACAGTGATTATGTGAATTTTGGCAACACATCACTGGTGGAGCACCATTTAAAGCTTTTTCTGTACTAGTATTGCCCCGTTTAAGCCGTATTTAACATATCTTATTCAAGCGAGTACTGTTTGGAGGAGGAGTCCGACCACTGTTCAGACCTGAGTAGAACTACTCTTGTAACTAGAATGAAGACGACGAAAATCAGATTTCTAACTAGCATCCAAATCAAGAAAAGAAATAAAAGGAACCTAAACGGTATTTTCATGTTTTTCTAGATAATTTGCAAGCATCGTAAAAGATATGAATATTTGGAAACTTGGATGATCTTCCTGAATTCAGCTGGGAAAGCGCAATTCTCAATCGTCTTCTAATTTCAACACCAGGATCTACCACCCTGGTATCAAACTAGTCTAATGGTGGTAAATCTCCCTCTGATCCACAAGGGTTGCCACTGCCTGTCGTGGTGACGATCTGGGACAGACTTTGGCCAGGCTGTCCTCGGGATTCCAGGGAACCACAATGGCTTAACCAGCAGAACACCGAAAAATGGTGATTATGCTGGGGCCCGCACAACTAGTGATGACGGGCCGTTCAAGTATCAAGTATTTGTAGTGCTATGCTTCCATTTGCACCGTTTGCAGCTCGCTGAACTTTTCTAGTTACTGGCACTCACTGAAAACTTCTTCAGTAGAAACGGAACGGTGGAATTTTTTTGAATATTGAGCATGATTTATTCATGAAAACCAGCTACCTTTTCTACTTCTCCCCGTTTCTATTTTCTCTAGCTCAACATTAATATTTTTCTCGTCCACTGGTCGTCTTTTATTTTTCGCGTTGCATTCTGCCAACTTTGAAAAACGGAATGTTCTCTGAAGATTCGAAAGACGATAACGGGGCTGGCTCATGTTCAGGTACCATCAGTCGTTCTATTGCTTGCCGCGCTTCTCCCTATCTCCTGTTGATCTCTTTTCTAAGTTCATCATTATTCGTACTCATTAAGAGTTCAATGTACATGAAGAATTTCCTCAATTCTGCCCAGCCAGAATGATGTCTTCTCTTTTTTTCTTCTAGTCAACAAATAGCTACATAAAGATTGATTTGTGTAGCACTAATATTTTTTTGGTTTATTCATCCCATTATTTATATCAAACGATGATCGATTCTGGAAACTAGTTTAGTCACAATGATGCTGCGATATTTGCTAAACACAGCCCCCAAGCCAAATTCTTCAAGACAGCGATAACCTTTCCCGCGAACTCAAGTGTACAACTGGCTCGTTTGCTTTAGTTTTCACTCATTTTGTTCTTTACCCTAACGGCGCCATCAACAGTCATCCGTCAACGGGAATGATCTAAGGGGCACAAATCGGCGTTGAACCCAGGTAAGCTGAGGCTTTAGTCGAAATCACAATCTACAATTTTTTATTTATTGCCAATTATTTGTTCATGACTGGGATTGTGTTGCGCCGAGATATTCGCAATGGATCCGGACTGGAGTCTGAGCTTTGCCAATATCACAGCACCGTTGTGGTTGTATTATGTTTCACATAATACGCCGTAGTGAAAGAAATAACAAGCAGTAAAGAAAAAGTTATACATTTTGAGTTAATTTAATGGTGAGCTTTGTACGCCATCGAGGTTGCAGAGAATCCAAAACATTGAATGGGTGAGAAAAAAGTACAACGAGGTTTTCGGTAACTGTGGAAAGTCTTGCTCAATTTTCATCCTCTCTTTTCAACCGTTGTTCAGTCACGCTTACATAAGCAATAGTGGTAAAGATTTAGCTAAATTATTCGACAGTTTCCATTACCTAACAAAATAAAAAGTCAATATGTATTTTTTATTCCTTTCTTTCTTTTTCTTTCTTTATTATTATTTCTTTCTTTTTATTTCTTCCTCTGTATTCTTTTCTCTTCTTTTTCTTTTATTCTTTCCTTAATGAAAAAGTCAGCTTTTCAGTCTAAGTTATTAATGAGTGTACCTAACTTAATATAAAATATGACAGATCTGTTTGGCAAAAGGACTATTGGCATAAAAAAGGAGCTGTAGATGTCTGGATGAAATTCTACGAACGCGGGCAAACCCGGCCTGAGGTGAATCAAGTTTTTTTTCTTCACCAAATGTCAAAAATTTTCGTTTTTTTTTCTTAAAATCCGCAAAAAAATAAGAGGTATTCTAGTTGGAAAAGGAGTTCTTTGCCCAAATCGACAATCCACTGCTTGGAAAAGCTTTCAAACTCGCCATCGTTGCGGAGTGGTTGGCCGTAAACAGCCTTGATGTAAATTCGCCGATTTTTAAAACTTTTTGAAAAGACTGATTGAGTTAAACTGTGGATGCCGAAAGTTGAAAGGAAAAACGAATTGTAGTTCTGCTTAGTGCACATTCTCACTCTCATTCACTCTCTCTCCCTCTCTCTATCTCACTCATGAGGGGAATGTAGGTAGATAGAAGACGTACACATACTTCGTTTCGAGATCAAGTTAGGTGCTATAGTTATCCTTTATAGGAATATAAATGTGAATACCATAGCAGTTTGAACCAGTTGCTTAACTTAACTCGTTAGAGAAGTGTACAGTCTCCCAGTTTACGCACTTTTAAGACATTTGCTACAAATTTGTGGATTATTTCTGTTAGCAAGGGTAATATCTTTGCAGCAAGGCTCGTATACTCCGTCGAATTCGGAGCTGCTCGAGTTTTGGGTGTCAAAAAGAGACCCTGATCGTCTTTTGGCTTGTCAACATGCAGTGGTCGACTATGAAATCGAGGGAGCAAAAGTGAAGACGAACGTGCTGTTTGAAGTGGCAACCACCGCAAAATCGGTAGGATAACTGAAAGCCAAATTTTTGCCTTATATGGGAACTCACAAGCTATTTAACACATGAAGAACGCGCGGCATTTAGTGCCCTTTGCGCTTAGGACGACGTCTGATCGGCAGCCTCCATGGACACAGTTTTTTGTGATAAGCAGCAATTTCTCGATAACAAGAGAATTTGAGAGGTTTTGGACATGGGGCGGTTCTAAAGGAGACTTTTGTCCATTGTTGCAATCACATGACAGACCATTGTTTTTAGCATGTGGAAGTGTTTTGCAACTTATACTCTATCTATTACGGAATTTCTTATGCCCGCACATTCCGCTACAGTAACCATAAATCTTAATAGTGATTGAAATGGAATACCACATAGTTGATAGTCAAATCAATGGTTAACGTGCTTGTCTGGAAAGATGCCTCCTGTAAATCAATGGAAAAAATAAAATCTGCATGAGACTTTTCTGGTTCGAATTCCCCCGATTTAACTTGCTTTCGATTAGCTATCCAATGAAAAGGCTTTGCAACTCACTGAAGTGAAAACGAGCACTGTACGTCGAAATCATTCGGTGTGTGTTAACATCATAATTCACCTAATTCAACCGGTTTATGTTATTTTGCTATCAAAATATTGTTAATAAGAGGAGTCCAACATCTAGTTTATACTGGCGGACGCGAGGAAGACATTTGACTAAGCCAGTGCACTAAGGACTGAAATCGCTTCCCGTCGGCTGATCGGCTCTAAACCTACAAGTACCAAGTAGATATATATGCTTTATTACTCCCCATTACATACAGGAGCATCTTAGTGTCACCATCCTTTATGAGACTTTCGCCAGCTTTGTACCCAGTTCAGACTCTGCTCCTTTTGCGGCCGACTCGTCCGAAAACGTCTATGTAATATAAACTATGAAAACTAGCTTTTCTATGCCAGAACGTGGTACAACATCTGTGGAGAATAAACTTGCAGTTTACACCAGAATTATACGAAATGCACCAGAATTCCTCCATGCAGCACAATACACGACCGGATAGGAAATGAATCAAGAAAATCAGTGTCACCTATTTTCCTAACGTATAAGCGGAAATCGTCTTCACTTTGGGTTCTTAGTGTAAAATGTGGAATCTGATTCCACCCTTGATTCCTTCGAGGTCATCAACTACCTGGATGATGTCATTCAAACATTCAGCCATGTTGTTGATGGCTTTACATAACTATCTTTCATAATAAGAGAAAAAAAACAGCAAACATCTACGAGCCACTTATCCATGGAGTTTATATTCCATCGAGTCGAATTAGAAGTTTCAATCTAGGAACTCCAAATTTCATTGTGAGTCAATGACTTTCGGCTACCATCGTAGCAGCACAATTACTCACAGCACCGTCAGTTGAGCTTTTATTTCAATTCATGGCGAACGATTTGCATAGGAGCCACCCGAGATAGGCCACCAAGTTATCAGATGGCAAGACTTGCTTGTAAATGTACGAAAATTTTCCGGTTGGCATCTCAGATTCTTATAGGATGGCAACGATCCTTTTCGTGACAGTGAATCCTGTAATGCAATTCTTCTGACCATTTGAAGACAATGTAACAAACTTTTTTCTACACTTAATAATTTTTGAAAAAAAAGCATTTTTGGACGAATTTGGGTCCAATGCATTCCTCAAGCAGAGCTTAGGAGAGAATTAGTAGCATTTCCAAGGGGGTTGCTCCAAAATTAGGTGCAGTTAGATAGATGTTACTGAATGGAGCTAAGTTCACTTTTCTTCTTGAGCAGACATGAGATTTTTAATAACAAGATTCACTCGGTAATGGCCGACATTTCGTCGATTTCACCGCTTCTCCAGACAGTAGAAAGGAAATTCAGAAATTTAAATCGACCTTTCCAGGCTCTGAAGAAGATGAAATCGTCAATACGTCATCCGTTATAGAATAAATCTCGTTAGTAACAGTCTTGTGGTTTCTCGAAAAGAAAACGTTGTCTTATTAGTCAATGCTAAGCTTAATCGAAAGTCGGTCCGAGGCATTACTGTTCATGGAAACAGTGGTAGCTTCCGCAAGTTATTGTGTGGGCGTATCCTACAGCGTTACATTTTTGTTGGTCTAAAATTTGTTTTAAAAAAGCTCTAGGCCGAAAAGCGAATGTATAGAACTCAACTCTAGTCTTAATTTCTTTTTCAGTTTCCCAACATTCTAAAGGACAAGAAATGTGCGGCGTTCGAGAAATTGCAAGAGGAGCGCTTTCAACAGGAAGCTCAAGAATTCAAGAAACGAACGGGAGGCGGAAACTTCCTGAGTGGTTTGGGCGGTTTCCTGAATACAGTACGAGGAGGAAAATAATCTTTACGTTGATTGCGTGTGTTGTATAAATGTTATATCATATTAAATCACTAAGTCAATCCGTGAGAGCTTGAACAACACGAATTATGCACTCATTATAACTCGTCAATAAAGATCTCCTTGCCGCTTAATCTCTACTTTTCTATTGTCTATACTGTGAGAGTTCTAGCAATAGAATACCGAACAAAACTCGTCGAAGATTCTTTGCAAGAGATGACTTTGACAGAATGAGGTCAAATGCACTGAAAATTTTATTCTCATGCTCTGTAGTGTTGAATCCCCTGGGAACGCTAACACCAATGAGAATTCGGGAGTAAGACCTTCGGTTTGATGAGTCTGGAAGAATGATATGTCATAGGGCTTGGTGAGGCTCTGCAGATGGCCATGTACCGTGTGGCACATTGCTTGGCAATATCCTCAAAAACCGACTTAGCTTGAACCTCGTTTTTTTTATACCAACCTTGCCTCCGCTCAGTCGTATAAGGGTTGTATGCTCCGTCCACTTTTCGTGACAAAATCGTTGGAGATGTCTCATATCACGATTAAAGGTTGCATATTCTAAAGTTGTTACTCAACCCACTTCCAGATTTTCGCTAGAAAACTTATACAATCAACAAGCCTTTAAGATGTAGCTGCTGTTGGATTCGTCAGTGCCCAATGTTTTTTCTTCTAAGTACTACTAGCCTCATTGTTTGAACTCCGTTTACAATTTGGAACATTCCATCAATTCAACTTACCTTTATGGTCCTTTATGAATCATTTTTTAAAAATTTTATGATTCATTTTCACCTAAATTAAGACCGAGTTCCGTTTTTTCAGGCCCAAGGCTGGCGAAAAGTGGTCTATATCACGGTCGAGAAGATTCTCACACCTACGGATCTCGACAACGATTATAAGAATAATTTTCGAAAGAACAGTGGCAACAAATTGCCTCTAGGAAGACTTCGACGGTACCCAGCCGAGTGACTTGATAACCAACGAACTTAGAGGCCGCATATGTTTGTTTCATCATGCTTTCAACTGGTGCCATAAGTTGCCGGAAAACAAATCGTTTTCCTATTTCCTCGTTTCCATTCAAAAAACTTGATGGATTTTTCTTAACGTTGCTAGTGCGAATCGTTATTTGTAACGACTTCCAGGTGAGGCGCTGTGAAGTGCACATGGAGCACTTCATCGGCTCATACTGCAATTCCAACTTTCCAATCAAAAATCTCATCCTACGTATTTTCAAGTCTTAATGGTTCAGCTCAGTATCTTGTCTTTCTCAGTACACCCACAGGTTTTGTTGTTACATAAATTGTGTTTTAAAAAATTATTAGTTTATTTTTGCCCAGTGGTCTTAATGTTTTCTCTATTTATTTTCAAAGAAGGAGCATCGCATAATGGAATATGGCCACGAGGGTGACCAAACCAGTTTAAGCAATACATTCATAAAAATCTCGAATTTATAGCAGAAATGTTCCTCAAAATATTTGGCTTTGGGGCCAATAAATTTTACAAAGGCTCGTAAAAACTACACCGTAAAAGTATGCCCCAATTCGCTCGGCTTGATTCGTTACTATTGATGTGGCCTATTAGTTATTTCTCTGAAACATAGTCTGGCTGGAACCGTACAGCTTTCATTGACAAAAACTTTTTTCATAGATTTTCTCTCATTCCATGAGGATTATCACCTAGTGACATCTCTTCTGTATGGAACCACATCTTATGATGTCCGTTCTCTATCAAACAGGGAAGAAAATTCTGCATTATGAGCTGAAAAAAGTACTATAGCACCTGCAAATGATATGTGTAATACGAGTAACTAGCGCAACACAATGGCCAACCCAGCATATTCATTACTATTTACACTCGAGTCATTGCACTTCCGATGAAAACGAAGACGAAATAACGTTGGCCACAATAAATTTGTATAAAAATTGTATAACAGCCTCGTTTCGTCTCAGCAATACCACATGCCGTCGTTTATTTATGGGAAACTTAAAAAAGGGATGGGACTGAAAAATTCCACTTAATTTACTTTATGAAAGCTGAGCATATGAATGTTTTCATTGGAACCTGGGTGTTACCAACTGGTGATCACAGGATAACGTCGACTTTTGTTGATCGGAAAGAGGTTTGGTGTTTTGCTGAGTAGGTCGGTGGTGATTCCTGCCACTATTCGTTCAGCATTAGCCGGCCTTCCGTATGAAAACGTCAAATATGGATTCTTCACTATGAGGCAGAAAACCAGCTAAGGGTTCCCAAATATTCGCGAAAGTTTGATCCAGTTTCATGGCGCCCGAAATTAATCCCGTGGTCCAACTTCACATATAGAGAAGTTTATTCAGTGAAACAAAAGCCACAGCAAAACATTTATAGGTCACTTTAAATAAGGTGTAGACTTCGTTGTTCTACAATGATGAAATTCTGTTTTTCGTTTTTGTGAATGTTTTTGGAGACAATGAAGCTCAACATCTATTGCTTTTTTTATAATTTTTTGACAAACCTTCTCTTTCATACACCGAAACTACTGGGCCGTAAAAATGCCATAAAAAAGATCAATATGGTGTCTACAAGTGTATTAGTGATGCCCCTCTTGAATTTAATTTGGAAATTTCAAAAACACAAATTCGTCTTTATTTTAGAAAATTTAAGTCTTAAAAGAGTCTTAGATCAGAACAACATTCCAAAAAAGCATTTGCACTCTTATGATGATCGTATAAAGCCTGTCCTCTGAGTCTCCTGTGACGTTAGGTTCTCAATCCTCTCGTGATTGAAAAATCATCTACAGTTGTCGAAAAATCACTTTCGTTGCTGATACAGTAATGCTATGAAAATAAGAATAATGCAATAAAAACAGTATGGTTTGTTACAACTACGAAAACTTATTCACGGAGAAATCTTTTCTTTTGGGTTACGATCAGTTTGAGAAAATTGATAGTTATTAGGCGAAGAGGCTAGCTCGGTGGCAGTGATGCCTTTCATTACGAGTGCTGGCCCCACCTGGACCGAACTCACCATGTCACTCATCCGTCCTGAGTAGGAATGGTGCCAGATTTTCTGAAAACTTTACTGTCCGCATTCCAAGCTGGAACTCTCTCGTCGGCTTATAGCAGAACTCGAGGGGGAATCGACTCGACCAGCATTCAGCGGCATTCACGAAGATGTCAATCCTAAAGAAGCAGCCGAATCCAGTTCGAGACGTTCGTGGATGCTTACTACGAAGAAATAAATGGAATGCAAAAAGTGCTGGGGTCCGCACAGTAGATGGAAAGACAGATAGTGTAGAAGAAAAGGTCCGACAAAATAAGAAAACTCGAGGACCGAGAACATTGAATTGGACGAATTTTAGAGAGACCGTCAACTCTAGGATTACTTAAAGGGTCCTGAACATGACCTAATCAATTGCTATTAAAATGTTTTGTTAATATTGGAATTTTTTGAGACTGCAGTAGAGCTTCTTGGGAGGACAAAGTTGTTCCTTTAAAAAGTTCTTTTTCAAGTTCTCGAAAATTGTTCAAATGCCATATAACTATCTTCGACAGACCTACGATAGTTCTTTAGAAGTTGTAACAAAGCATTCGTTCAGAAAGCAAGCCGTTCTGCCTTCACGGAATTATTAAGCTGACATGTTCTCGTTGACATGCATTATTCATTCACTCAGACAGATCATTCCAAACATAACTTTCTGGCCAGTGGGCGGAAAAGACGTTGAATCTCGGGTATCTTCTCAGTTGCTGATCTGTAGTCTCTCTTCTGTTCTTACCCTCCGCCGACTAAGCCTTCTTGCGTGATGAGTTATTACGAGATCAACATACACTCTTCTGCTGCTTATTATTTCACGAATTCCACGTCTCGCTAAATCCCCACCGCTGGCGTTATACCCTTCTGTCGTTCCAAATCAGGATTTTCCCATTTGTTTGACTCTGATTCTCTCAATTTTTTTCTTTATGAGACAGATCTAAAGAAGAACTAGACAAAACAAAGCCGATATGTTCAACAATCTACCAATTTTTTTGTGTTTCCTTCAACACTTTTTTAACTCTCATACGTTTCTGCATTCAATCCTTCTCGATGGAGATCAGTTTATAACTTGCACTATGCTCTGCCTCATAAGGTTTTATCTCTATTTAAGAGATCTAAGCACTTTATTTGGTAGTCATTTTTCATCTCTGCTGCTTCTTTTTTTCATCCTGTGCCTTTTTAAATCCATTAGATATTCAATTTTTTAAATATACTATACTACGTTAATGAATGATTTCTAAGCCAATTTCGACAAATTCTTCAGCGCAAGATTACCGTTTACTTAATGTTTATGGAGCGTGAGCTCCGCCTGAAGGCCTTCATCGATGAATACGCCCGTGTTGCACAACTCTTTGATGACATCGTTTCAATGAAGGAGTCGATGGGAAGGCTGGAAATGTACATAGTGGTGATCGTATGCCAAATCGGAGCCACTTTATTTGTTAGTAAATTTTCTTCCGTTATAAAACCGAAATTAGCAAGTTTTAACGCAATCATTTCCTATTCACTACATATTCTTTTTTCATGGCAGGGTACGATGTGAAATACACGTATAGGGTAGTGGTGAACACATTATTCCCCGGAAAGGTTGATAACGAGGTTCAATCCCTGCCGCAGACAACTGCGGGAGTTTTGCAAGTATTTCAGAACCATTTTATTTATATTTAGCAAGTTTATTTTGCTTGAAAGAAAAATTTTTGAAGTTACTATTATATTAGTGGTATTAGGTTAGGTTAGTAAGGATTAGATTTGTTTATTCGCACAGAAGTAAAAAGGAAGTCGGTTTTTGGAATATTGTCCAAAGTTTCATAAGCAGTGGTCGAAGAAAACTGTACGAGATCCAAACACAGTCATTATGAGAAAAGTAGCCTACTCAGATCTTACAAGCACTTCGACAAAGTCCACTTCCGTAAGATAACGCGAGTACACCTTTATAACGAAGTGCTACGGAGATATTCACTTGGCGACTTCAGAGGAATAGTTGCTGTAGTCCACTTGAATCGCTGAGTGAACGATAAAGGGTTTAGTGTTGATCAACCCCTGAGGGACACACCATTCATTCGACTTCATCAAGTATTGTTAGAGGTGATTGAATATGTCTCTGGTCAGCGAAGTGACTTATAGTAGCCTATTGATGTATCGTTCCGGTGCTTCCATCCCACCAGAAAAGCCTACCACAATTTTCACCGACACCACAGCGATATATGTCTCGGTGAGCTCATGGCGAACCAACGACCATCTGTGTATTACATGACATCGCTGAGTGTTGTGCTACATCGGCCCAACGGCTGATATACACCGAAATTGCAAAAGACATAGATATACAGTAAACATGCATAAAACAATCTTAGCCGTTTCATTTACTAGCTACTCTTTTTAATGGCAGGGTATATTGCAAAATATAACTTTAATGGTGATGAGATATTTGCAAAACGTCGGGCCGCAGGTGCCTGCGGTGGGGAACCAACGCGATATTGTCCATTCCGGGGAGCAACGCGTTCACCACCACACCATGCGGGTCCTTCGTTTCGCCTGCCTCTCAGCTAATTCTATCGATCACTGCTCACTGCCATCAGCAATCACCCGTCAGCGGAATTGATCTGGGGGGCCCAAGTCGGTAATGAACCCAGTTAAGCTGAAGCGGTGGTGAACGCGTTATTCCCCGGAAAGGACAATAGCGCGTTCGCTTCCCACCGCAGACACCTGCGATTCGGAGTTTCACAAATACCTCAGCACCATTAAAGCTATACAGAAAACAGTTTGTTTTCACTTGATTGAGCACTATTAATGACAAGGAATGCAGCGTTCGGCGTTAGTCTAGGCCCTATCTCATGAGTGTATGCACATCTGCCTTGAAATTAATAGATCTAGATTAGAAATGTTTAAATTAGAAATAAAATCTACGCAAGAACATGCGGGAATCTAACGAGATATAAAGTCGATGTTTCTATCTGGTGCTCTCTCTACGCAACTCTCTTCCAGTCTACGAAGTGATAAGGAATAAAAAGACAAAGCTCTGCGTCGACTTAAAATACATTGTAAATTCGACTTCATTTAGCACCGTAAAAGTAGTTGGAAAGAGCTTAAACAATCTAACGATCGCGTTGTATAACAAGTTACACCTAAGCATTGCGAAACTCCGTTGCAAAAAAGATCCAAGCACATAGCGCCTTGCTTGCTCTATACTTTTTCAAAAACCTAGAAATAATATCGATGTTCACATAACAAGGTAACATTACAGGCCATGGGTGTGATCCTGTTGTTTCGGTTTTGTCGAGCTCAAAGAAACAGTGGAGAATACCACTTGGAACATCGCTTCGAGCGGAATCCATCGACGGTCAATGAAACGAAATCGGTGCCTTAGTGTAAATAAATGTGGGTAGGCCATCTTCGATTTTTTCATTATAAGTAAGGAACGAAACCTCCCTAGTACTTTAAACGTGAATAAAACCTATTTGTTTTCTTCTGGAGTGCACAGATAGTCGAAAAGGATTTTATAATAGTGACAGCTTAGTGAAGATTATAGTTCGTCTCTTCCACCTCGGCTAAATCTAAAATGTTGGAGTTATGTTAATACGAATTTCCTAAATCCGTGACGTTTCGCTTCATGAGTTTAGAGCTAGACATGATTAAACAGATTTAACAGCGACTTCGAATATCACAAAAGCTGGAATCTGCGCAATCTCCAAATGTATTATCTTTCATTGATAAGCTAAGATGAGGTTATTAAGAAGATTTATCCGGCTAACGATTCGATGCCTTCGTCCTTTTCTGAACCGGATTCACTTTAGTCGATTGCACACGGTTATCCGTACTCGTGATGGTGCTCTCTGGAGTTACATCGAGTCGAACCATCTCGTGTAGAGCATTGCTGGAATGAATTCAGAGCTGGACGTGTTTTCAACGAGAACAAAGAACGAAGTTTAAAATTCCTCATGCAATTTTCTGGACGATTAAGCTACCCAAAGATTGCTCTAAAAACTTTAAGATATTGTGCAGATAGTACGGCAGTTTTGTAACTCACCACAGCGGGAGCTGCAAAAGTTCGACAAATGGGTACCACATTAATCGGCAAAAAAGGTTATCTTCATAAAGCTTGCTCTGAATTTGTTCAGCGTAGAAAGATAAACATATTCCACGATCTACGCACCGTTGATTCTGCAGGACAATCGAAGAAGTCCAGCGCATTGGTTGAATCCATATAAAGCTCCTAAGCACTTTCCAAAGTCTAAAGATGATTGTGCCAACATTTACGTTGTTTGCACACGGAATCACAATCTAAAACTTCTTCAATTCTAAAGGAACTATGGAGTCAGATAACTTTTTACCAGAAAATATATAGTGTGCACCAATAATTAAATCAGAGCCACCGTGATCCAGACTCCAACTTTTGATAGCTACATTGTTCGGTAACGACTAACTTTGTGTGAGTTAAGGATGGAAGAACTCGTCGGCTATTCAAAAATATCACATTAAACAATGTTAGTTTTGCAAAAACTGACGATAATTTTCCAATATCTAGATGATTTGATGTATTAAGAACGAAACATGTTTGTAGAAGAGACTTTGCCGAATTAGAATTTGCTGCTATTTACACTATGTTAGCATGATGAATCCATCTAAACACATCGCTATCAGCATTTGGAAATGTTCAGCAACTTATGCCGAGTCAGTTTTCACGTGCCCATATTTGTATTCCATATGATAGGCATGGGGCCTGTGGCCCAGTGGTTGCAGGCGCACTGCGGCACGCACATGGAATCAATCCCCGCGCCCATGGCCCGCCAAGCATTCCATTCCTCCGGCGGGGTCGATAAATTGGTACCAGACTTGTCTGGGAGGATAGCAGCACCAGCTTGGTATATCGGTGGGCCATCGCGAGTCATTGTAAAAGCCAGATATGCTTTCAGTCACTTTCAACGATACCTAGTGAAGTCCAATGCATGACGCATCCCTTGGGGATTGATCAACGCCGCGAGCTTTTAGAGCTCTATGATAGGCATGGTTCATCATAATGATTGAAAATAAAATAACACTCAGTTATTTGTAAAAATTGAATTTAAAATGCTCTAAACAGAGAACGATGGTGTTTTTTCCGATAATTAGAGGGCTAGATTAGTTAGGAATTTAACACACTGCTCTATTTCTTCACAGGTACTTATGCCGTAATGTCGAACAGAATTGAATGCCGATCGAGCGCTCAGCGATAACGACAATGAGATAGCTCGAAAAAAGGAAGGCAATGTGGAACCTGCTGCGCTTTTCGCAGAACATTCTGAAGAAAAAGATCATTCATAACCACTGGGTCTTCGAGCACAATCGCTCTAGTGCGAATCAAAAATTTCCTTCCTATTAAAGAAAAGTTATACTTTTTTGAATTGCATATCTTTTTTGAATTTTTTGCATTTAGCGTTGGATCTTCAGCGAAGTTCCGTACCAATTTCCCGAATGCGGAGGGATGACAGGCTTGGTAACCTTGGAGCGGGATCGAATCAACGCCGTGCTCGTAATGGTCGCCTTCACTTCCACTGTGCTATCCGCCCCTGGTCTTTTCTTTAAGGCGGCGATTATTAGATTTCCACGAATAAATGGTCATTTGAACCCCAATACTGCTCTTGAATGCTATCCCACTGCATCACATATAATGATGGGAGCCAGATTTGAAAGTCTGTTAAATAAACTCAAACTATACTGCGCCGATAAAAAACAACGGATAAAGCTCTCGGCGTTGATCAATCCTTGAGGCATGCGCCATGCATTCGACTTCATTAAGCATCGTTAATTTAACGTTTGATTGAATGTATATCTGGCCTTTAGAATGACTCGTGGTGGCCTACCGATGTATCAAACCAGTGCTGCTATCTTCACAGACCAGTTTGGTACCAATTTGCCGACCTCGGAGGGATGGAAGGCTTGGTGGGGCATGGGCGCAGGGAACGATTCCGCGCGTGTGTCACAGTGGCGCACCCAACCACTGCGCCACACGCTCCCCTTGTGACAGTCTATGTACAACTCAAAAAGACAGCGGCTGATACGAAGATTTCTTGACTTGGTTGAGCTGTCAGTACACGTCTCTGAGGCGTAATAGAGTGTTGGAAGGACTGTTGAGTTGAAAAGGTGAGCGTGAAGTTTTAGGCCCACCTAGTGGTTCAGTAGCTCCTTTGAGAGGCTCAAATGTGGCCCATGCTGTTCTCCCGAGATGGGCTAGGTCAGCGAGCACTGTAAGAATTACAGTTGTTTCACCATTGTCTAACGTTCTTTCATAGCCAAAAAAATTGAAACAAGAGTGAGATAGTATCACCCACAGATTTGTATGACCATGACACGGCTTGGATGTTTCGCGCAGGAGAATCCTCCTCACTCAAGTGGTTTTGCCACATGAAAAGTCCTTATATACGCAGCTGGATAGCTTTCGTGAACGGCTCGCAGAGTAATCTCAACAAGGGTATCGGGCAATGGTTTCAAAGATTCTTTCAGTTTCCCTTCTTTTGCAGTAAATCCATGTGCTACGTATTCCACTGTTTTGGGACCACCGCCTATTTAAGGTTAGAAGTCATGTGAGTTCACTGCACTTATGACTCTTATAAGCGGTCAACTTTCTATAAATCTCGGCATCTATACATCTGTACAAGTGTTCGTACAAACTGCCCCTGTTTATCCGGTACGAGGTTGGTATAGACGTTCTTATTGTTATTGGTGTTGCTGTATTCGCGGGTTGACGTTTCGGCGACTTCGCCCTCTTCAGAGCCGTGCCGCTAAACCATCCGTTTGTTGTTCACGAGGGATGATGAGTGAGACCCTCCCATGGGTACGTGTATCAAAAAGTAACTTTACAATAAGGAGCACACTACATGTGATAGTGAAAGATTCGACCCACCGGTTAACCTTTGGACTTTGAAATTTATCCAAAACGCCCCAAGAGTCTTGCCCTCGATATATTTTATTTCTGCGCCAGGATCCGGACATTCACTTCGAAATCATCATCATTGTGCTTTTGTGCCCTTTGTGCACTATAGGAGTACTTTGTCGTTGTTTATGCGGACATAAGCTGGTCTATCCGTTCCCCCAATATTCTTCACGGCATGCCTTACATGAGATCAAACATATTGTACCTGAACTCATGCAATCCTTGTCTCCGGTTAGGGTACGTTAAACAATTTTCTGAGTTGCACAAACGATCACAGAGGCGGCTGTGGATTAATTGACAGAGTATAGTACTGGGTGGGAGTACTGGGAGTTACAATATATTCGATCTCAAGTAGGGCAAGCCGTGAAGAAAGAAAACATTGGGAAAACGGGTAGACCACTTTGTGTCCTGCATAAAAGAACAACGGGAAAGCTAGAAATCGACAAAGTACTCCTTTAGGTACCCATAGGGCACAAAAGCACAAAGGTGATGATTTTGAGGCGAATGGCCGTATCCTAACACAGAAATAAAATATATTGGCGAGGCAAGACTCTTGGGGCTTCTGATACACACCCACATGGGTTGGTCTCTCTCATGATCCCTCATGAACAACAAACGGATGGTCTAGTAGCGCTGCTCTGAGGTGGGCGAAGTCGCCGAAATCTCAGCTATCGAACAGCAACACCATTAACAATAAGAACATCTATACCAACGTCGTGTCAGCTAAACAAAGGCAGTTTGTAGATTTTCTCTTTGCTGAAAATACTTACTCAAGATAACGACCTGTCTTTTCCGCCGGCTGCTGTTGGAAGAACGCATAGCATCCTATAAGGGAATGTCAGAGCAGGACATTTGCAGGCTGTAAATTATACAATAAATGTCCCTCAGTGTTACGTCTGAAACATCACTAGGAAGTTGTGGTAGTGAGACTTGATAATTGTCTTGAGAAACAAAATGTCTTGAATCCTACCCGTCAGTACATAATCTGTGAGGACAGGGACATTTTGGAAGAGTCGTATCAATTTATAAATTTTCATATGTTATCCTAGCGAAAGGCTGTCCGTAAGTGTCACCTTCAGTGTTCAGCTACAGCAGTGAAGACACCGCTGCACAGATGAAGGCAATACTCTCGATGGTGCTTACTATCTTCAGAACAATACACACCACCTCGTAAAGAAAAGAGGGTTTTTGTGATCTGTTAGGTGCAGAGATTCTTGGAGGCACTCTTGCTACATCGTCTATATTGGACAAGCGATCGATTGAACATAAAAAGTACAGAAGAAAAGCTTTGTGTAGGAACATAGACCACTGAATAGGAAATGCATTGGAAGCAATGCACTTCGTGCAATTTGCCTACAGTGCCTTGCACACAGTGAATATTCTGTTCTATATGTTAAAGCTGTGCTTGGGCCGAGTTGTAGCATTTAAAGTTTGTCTATCGAAATCCGCTGCTAATTTCGCGGCAATCTAATGGGATGATTCATAGAATAAAACTGCATTATAATATAAACACAACCATGGATAACAACAAACGTTTTCTAATCGTTTTAAGGATATCACCGACATGCTGGAGATCCTTCTGAAGACTACAACAATGGCTACCTTTAGGAAGTACTCACCGCTTCGTCACGGCTACATTATTCTTACGTAGGCATTAAAGTCGATGAAAATTATCCCTTGTTGCTCCCCAAACCTCAGTTCCATATTTGTTTTATGCAGTCTTATAGCTCGCATTTGAATATGATTTCCTATGAACCCCATGCATTTGCTCGGCACTTAGACTCGATTGTTATCATCACATTCCTCGTCCGGTTCTTTTATGAACAAGCATCTTGCCATGTCTCATATTAATTAATTTGTAGGAAGCGTTAATTGTTGCTATGAGCACTTTCCAAGTTGAATACTCCTCATAACTACTAACACGCTGTACCATTTCGCAAGACCGACTTTCCATTAACCTCGGCGTTGATTGACAATTCACTGTTCTTCTTCAAAGAGCAAGCACGAAGTTGGTATTGCGCTTTAGCCTTCTTCAGAGCCTGGAAAGGTCAAATTGACATGCGATCTACTCAGCCAAACACTTTCATAACCTTAGCACATAAAACTTAACACATAAATTTGTATTTGAATAATAAACGGCTTCTTTTAAACACCCACCGTTTTGCCCTTTGCATGTATTCCAATCAATTGGTGGAGAGCAGCGGCACAGAGTATACTATATAGGCTAAAAATGTGGTCAGGTTATTGGATCAGCCTGAGGTATGGCGCGGGGTCACGCGTGATAACAAGATACTCCTCCTTGCGGCTCGTTTTTGGATTTTTGTAATTAATCGAAAAACTTCAAGAGTTCCACGCGCTGATGTTTTCGACTCCTTTGCGAAGACAGTGACTCCTACTTCAAAATCTTCTCCGTTATGTTTCTGTGGCCTGTGCATGACTAGATGGGTGCGTGTGGCGCAGTGATCGGAAGCACTCTACAGTACACGCCGGATCGATTCCATGCCCCTGGCCTCTGCGAGGACAGCAGCACTAGCTCGATACATCGGTAGGCCACCGAAAGTCATTGTAAAGGTCATATATGCATTCAATCACTTTCAAACGAGGGGAGTAACGCGTTCACTACCACTATGGTGGGACGGCTCGATTATATAGGAATACCAAGTAGTTATGATTCGGTCGGAATTTGCTGCTCGCCTTTGTGTAT